TATATATATATATATATATATATATAAATGCAACTCACACAAGATGAGGCACGCATTAGTACGGTGTGGATGTCAAATATTGTGTTGTTTATTATATCTACTGTTAAGTCTGGCCTTCTTGCTGGAAGAAATATCTTATGACCTTTCTGAGCTAAAACAATTCCTCGCTCACCTCTGGTTTGCAGTTTAGAAGCAGCTGAGAGCAGCTTCCAAACACAGCCGCCGAGTTCAGTTGGTTGTCGAGTGGTTTTGTCTCCTTATCTGACAGGCGTATCCGCACAAACTTCTCTGAGGGGGGGCCCGACGGTCTCCCTATAGAGCATACTAAAAGTGACCCGTCTTGGCTTGATGCATGCACCAGGCACTAGTGGTGTTGGTGCATCAGCAAGCGAGAAGCAAACTCATTTGCAAATCAAAATGCTGAAGCTTTCCGCACACCGTAAATCATCCTAAATTCTAAGTTGTCTCCCTGTGCGTAGCTCTCTAGTTCCTGTATACCTGTTGTGTGCTGATGGTTTAGGCTATTTCGCTTATCTCCTCCGCTCGGTTTACGATGAGCCCTGCACTGTTGGTTTTGTCCTGCATTTTTGTCAATAACCAAGTTTAAATGGGTTTAAATGGAGCTGAGTTCCCCTATCGATGGTGGCGATGTCAGCAATTGTTGTGTCAGGTGTCCAATGTGGAGCTGGGTTTGCTTGCATTGGGTGTCTGGATGTGCGCATACGCTAGACCATTGAATTGTCGTTATTAGCGAATTCCCTTCAAATGGAAGTGGTTTTCGTTAACTCCGAAACGTAAACCCTAAACTCTCTCCACGGAGGTCCCTACGGCCTGTTCCGGCTGTGCTGGCAAACGGTTTAGGGTTTTGTTGTTAAGGTCTAAACAGAGGCTGTCGAGAGTCAACAGCCACACTGGAAATGCAGCCGATGGCAGCCCAGAGCCAGCATCTCGTTACATGAAATACAATGTACGGTTAGTGAACGAAGGAAAGAAAACGTCGGATAAAAAACTAACCGCCGTGTTAAGAATATTTGCGTATGGCTTTGTAAGAGACAACCAGCGTACCGATCTTCCTACGCAGCTGCTCTGATATATCGTGGCCTTAACGCGCTTGCATGCATGCATACGCGTGGGCTTTCCAAACCGTAAATAATACAAGAAACGTCTTGCTAGTACACTTTGTAGTAGTTGGGTCTCGGCCATAGGGGGCCAAATATTGCTCTAAAGTATTGTGGATTTGGCTTGGGTGAATGTGTATTTACCTGCTGGCATTAAAGCCGTAGACACTACAATTTATCGTTCAATAAATAAACCGATGCCTTGCTAGCACATTTTGCAACGGTCAGACCTTGGCCATATGGGGCATGTAGACAAGCTGTAGGCATCACGATTTATAACTCAGCGTTTGTCTCAGTATCACGAGTGCAGTAAGACAACGAGGCCAAAAGTAAAGAAGAGTCGAACTCCAATTCGAATGGAGACCGCGAGGTCTTCGCAGCTCCTCATATATCGAAAACACTTTTTTGCACCCAGGATCTAAAATCTAGGGTGTAGGGTTTAAGTAGGGTCTACGGTCATATTTGTGGGATGTTTGTGCATTGTAAATAGGCAGTGCCAAGCCAACGTTGTTTGGGGCAACTCAAACAAATCCGGCTTCAATCGCGTAGTAGTATACATACTAGTGTAATGTCTTGAAGTAACAACTCAATGGCAATTATCTTATGATTACTAATTAGCAGGAATGTGAGCTCAGGGGCAGCCGAGCTACAGTAAGAACGGCAAATCCACTGTCTCCTCTCCCCCACCAAAGTACAGTCCTCCGAATGTTGGCGAATCGACAATGGTGAACGCAACGTAACCTGAACAACAAAGCCAGGCAAAATAGAAAAGCACAAACGAAGACAGCACTATTCATGCATGCAATTGTGCATGTATGCATGTGGGAGTGTATGCTTGCACGTTTGCTGGTCCTCACTCCAAATTAAGCGCTTACCTGGCCACATGAGACTCCTCAGCGTCACACAGTTTGTCATGGGGTCATAGCGCGTTACCCACGAACCTGCAGAGCGCGTTTTGAGATGCGGTTGTACACCCCGTTTTACAATACGCATGTACAGATAAGCTAAACGTGATGTGCATTTTAACATGCTTATGCATATACACATATACGTTCGGGTTTTTGTACGTACGCGCATAGATTTTGGAACAAGCATATTTATATACTTTTCCATAGATGTATTTGTGTAGGTATTTATACAAGCAACTGTAGAACAAATATACGACTACATATGCATATGTATAACAATAGAGACGAATAAACCGTCGCATTTATTGGCTCGTTTGTATATTCTATCTTCCTAGACACCTAGGTCACGCCTGTGTGGAATGAGCTTCAGTGGCACTTTGTGGGTGGATTCAGCTGTCTGATGTTGAAGTAATCGCAACGACTCAACCAACCAGCGAAGTTTCATCTATGAATGTTGTTGTTGTGGGTGGGTGGGTATAGCTTCCTCTGAAGGTTAATCTGCCTATATATACATGCATACCTCTTTCTGCAGACTAATCAAGGCAAGAGGACAGAACAGCAGGAATATATTAGTACGCATGCATGCTCAAAGCAAACTTATGTGTGTGGGACTGCTCATTTGTAGATGCATTTGCGGAGTTCTGGAGAAGTCTGCATTGGTTTAGCTACACGGACTTAAAGCCGTGTGCATTTGAATGTCACTTAATACTTAAACCAAGCCCCTCTGGGTGGACACTGTCTCATTGGAAATAATGCAAGAGCATGTGGGGCATTACATATCAGTGCTGCATAATAAAAGACAGGAAATGCAACGGTGGTTTCAGTGCCCCTGACCCCTCGGCACGTCGTACTGCAAAGGCTCCAGGAAGTCCACGTTGAACTGGCAGCACAGAGGGACAGCAAACGAAAAAGTTCCAGGGAACTATCTCCTCTTTTCCTGTTTTTTAGCCTCCTTCTTGTACACTTCGTTGATGATTGTGATCTTACTCAGGTGCTCGGGTTCGGGTGTACGGCTGCAAGTGGAGGAATTAGGGTTTGCGGATGACGCAGAGAGTGCACCTGGTAATCTTTGGACGTTTGCGCTCGCAACGCCTCCACTGCATCAGAAATGAACCCCAAAAGTTGTTTTTCAAAGCATGTGTACGGTCTGTGGATTAGGGGCTTAGCCAGAACTCCCGGCCTGTCTGTCGTATGCGCTTCGGGGATTATGGCTTTGGGCGGATGTGCCATAGCGTATTTCTGCTCAAATAAAGGGCCACTGCATGGTGCATTTAGGGTCTAGAGTTTGGTGTTTCTAGCTGCCGGCTGCCTACAGTCCTCTGCCGGCCTGAAGTGAACCCAATACGACAAGTCCACTGCCTCCTCGTAGCTGAGTCCTGAACAGTGCATTGCACATCCACCTGAAAACTGGTGCAAAGTGGGAAAATGCAGATATATTACAAATGCATCAGCTGAATCAACGCCAATATGGGAGATTGCAGGCAAGGGCAAGCAATAAAATACAATTTGATGACTTCGTAAACATGCAATTTCCGGGATGCATAAGAATGTTGCCTTACAGTTAAGCGCAGCAAACACTGCATGCAGCAACTGAGCAAATGCGATTACCTAGACCAGCACACTCTGAAAAGGTCAAATTCCCTGACTGTTTTCTTTCTTTGTCACATAATGAAAAGTGGTAGCTTTTCGATATGTCAGTTGGAGGCCCACTGAGCTACAGCAGTCTTAGACTAAAGCTTAACAGATTCTGTCTGCTAATCACGAGTGATGCCTGCTACTTCTCGTTGCATGCTTCCATTACGTGCAACCATTAGGTCTTTAAATAAGTTGCAACGATATGAATGTAACTTTTCAACAGAAGTAGCAGTTGCCCACACCTTCTTTCTACCCTATTGAAGCCTGCATACTTTTTCGTAAACCCTAATTTGTAAACACTAATGCATAACATTTAATTGGTCAACCCTAAATGCCTCACCCTGAAACTCCGTGGCTGGGATTATTTTAGTGCCATGGAGGCGATGAGCCCCCCGCGGCACCGCTGCAGTGGCGAAGTCGATGCGCTGCACTAAGGCGGCAAGGAGGTCTGCTTCCGTCATTACGTTCTTTTTTGTTCCTTCTGTTTTCCACAAATACACATGCAATGGGCACAGAATAAACTCCATGCCACTTTTTCCCTTTTTGTTCCTTGTTCCGTCTGTCGTCAGCAAGCAGGCATGCAATGCGTGCAGACTGTATTCTAATCCCTCTTCGTTCCGTGTTCCTTCGGGTGTCAGCGTAGAGGCATGTGCGCATGAGCATTGTATGTGCCTTAAACGCTCAGCCCTCCTCTACTCTTTTGGCAGTTAGGGCATATACGCATGCAATGCTTGCACCCTAAAACATAGGCAGTCACCTAGCACGTTCTTGTATCAGTATGCACGCATTGGCATGAGCAGAACCCTAAATTGTAAATGCTTGTTCCCCAGAAATCACTGGCCTTTTTTTCTGCCTCTTATCAATCCGCAGCAGTCATGCAGTCACACAGATGCACTAAAAGCAAGTTTCTAAACGCTAGCCTTAATCGCCAATCGGTCAAAGCCCATGCTAACTCAAAACTGTTATCTGCGATCCCTCGGTTATTAGCTGTTAGCATTAGAACGAGCGGAGAAGGCAAAATGGCCCTCAAGCACTAGAACGACCCTATACCATTAACCCTATATTCTCTCTACACAGTTTTGCTCTCTCTGTCTATCAGCTGTTAGGAGGCAGGAGCAGTAAACCACAGCGGCAGATAAGCTGTCTACGGCAATCGAGAAAGAGCATAAGAGCACCAAATCCAAAATCTTAACCTTAAACCCTATCCCGCCTGCTAGATAAACCGCAAACTCCTTCTAGGCAGCCATGGTGAACAATCGTTTCCGAACAGTTTGACAGATGCTGCGCCACTTGCCTCCTCCTTCCTCCTCGTCGCTCTGCGCTTCGGCTGCTGAGGCTGTTGCATCATCTGGAGGCACACAGGACACATAGCATTTCCGGGAGCAGCAGCTGCCGCGGTTTAGCCACCAGCACGCCAATGTCTTGTTGCAGTGATAGCAGATGCAACAGTCGCAAATAGTGCTCCATCATAGCCAGAGAAGCAAACCGTCCATGCCCCCGACCTGCGAAATCCTATGCCCTGAAACCGTTCAGAGATCTACCTGGAGATTGCACTACTCTGGCAGGGTCTCCAGTCAGCACTATTGACTCTGGCTTCTCTTTGGTGCCGCATACTTCTCCCTCAGGCAAGGGCCGAAAATCAAATTGACCTGTGCTGAAGACGCAGCACCAGCAGAAGATGCTGAAAGAATGACTGCAGCTTCCTTCGCAACAAATCCAGAAAAATTTCTTGGTAGGGTTGCTGTCAGTACAACAGCGTTTGGCCATTAACAACGAAAACGTCGTTGAAACCTCTTCCGCATCGGCGCCACCTCTTGCTGAAGTCAACAACCCTGTGGCAAGTGTGTAGCTGCATGGTGCCTTGAATTTCTTATTTTGATGGTTCGCCTAAGGCGCTATGTTAGCTGTCGCTGATGCGGCAATGCTGCAACATTTGCTACAGGTCCTGCCGCAAGGGGCGCAGCACTTATGGTTGCAGCAAACAGTGGAATTCAAAAAGCACCGCACTGCACATCATCTGATATGAGATTGAGATGAGTAACTATGAGAATGACAGACACTGCATGCAGCGGATTCAATATGGGAATTAGGGGGCGATAAAGACAATCCTACATCGCTGCATAAATAGAGAAATGCATAACTGAACTATAATATGTATGGCTTTCTGATGGCACTAAGTATCTTGAACAACTTCGCGTAAGTTTTGAATCATTAATGGTCTAGAAAGCGAAGCAACTCCGTCCTGAGTTTTCAGAATAGTTTTTACCTGAAGTACATTTTCTTTCTGGGGTAGATGTATTCGCTTTCCTCGAGTACAAACGCTAAGTAGTAATCATCATTATGTCCCCTGATTCTTCCCCAAAAGTAAACTTTGTCTGCCTTTGTCTTCTTTTGTAGAGTCAAAAGGGACAGCTGGAGAGAGGTTATCTCGTACACGTTCAGGCTGTTTCCGACGCCGCTCAAGTGCCTAAGTCCTACTTCCAAAGCAGAAACCTCCATGGTGGCCTGGGGTTTAGGGTTTAGTGTTTAGGGTTGTGCGTGGAGTATAGGCGCCGAAGGGCTCCTAGGGTTCGCAATGATTATACGCGGGAGTTGTGGCTGTTCCTGTTGTCTCCCACTGATTGGATAGCTCCTGGGGTGCAGGATTTAAGCTATTAGGAAATCTGTATTTAAAAATGAAATTTGATCGTTGTTTGCGTTTAGAACTTCTTGAGAAGGGCAACTAGGAGACAGCGGTCTCGTGTTCCACCGCCGTTTGTCTGTTTCAGCAACTTCGTCAGTCCTGTGCCAGTGTGCGTTTCGTCTTTTTAACTCAGATTAAAAAACAATCAAGTTAATCTTTTCAACATCCGCGAACTCAACCACGCAGGACGGCGTTGAGAGCAGCGTAGCTGGGGGTCACCAAGTGTAAGCAGGCCCGAGGGAGGCGCTGTCTGGGGCTCCGTTAAGGACTTTTCTGAGTGCTGCCTTCCCTACGAACTCTAAAGCCGCGACTCCTTTCTAGTAAGAATAGATTAATTCCTTAATGTAGTTTGCATATTCTGCGAAGCAGCACATCTTCTTGTCAGCTTGGGTGAGGTCTCCCACTTCACTCATCAGCGCCAGTGACCCTACCCCTAGCTGCTGCAACACCTTTGGAAAAGCAGCGCCCTCAGTTTTGTTCTGTTCACAGGTACAGCTGTCTTCAAGATCTTCTGTGAACTGGTAGAGGCGTTTATGTTACTTTCTATATCTTGCATAACTTCTCGTGGCTAGCACCGTCTGACCACAACTGGCAACACCACCCCAGACGCTCCCTGAGCTCACCACAATCCCCTCTAGTACCTTCTGCCTTCCGTTTGCCTATGAGGTCCCCACATCAGCAGCCCACACCGGCTGGAGCCCCCTAAGCTTGAGTGTTACTATGAACAGCAACGGGGGCGTAGAAGGGCCCTGGCCCGACCTGGCCCCGCCCCCTGAGGCTGTTCATCTCTTCCACAGCTACGAAGACCTTAAGGCTCAGCTGTTGCCATTGAAAAGCCCTAAGCAGCAGCCACAGATATCAGGAAAACTCCAGTCCCCTGCCGATTCTCCGCATGAAACACTGTCATGCGAGCCTTCCCTCACGAAAGCTTCAGCCCTGCAGTCACCGTCCCTCGGACCCTTTGGTGCCCTGCGGCCTTCCTCACAAGCATGCAGTCTCAGCCGAGACACGGCAGCAACTCATTGTGCACCCACCACGGGGACTTCTCCTACGGTTTTCCACCGCAGGGATGCGGGCCCCACGTGTGGGAAGGAGAGAGCTCGTGGTAGCCGAGGCTCTACTTCGTTGCCTATAGCACAAGGCGTTCTCTCTGAGAAGATTCAGGGAATTCATGGAATTACGGGGAGGCCGGAAACAATGAGCAGCCAGATCAACGAGGCAGCAGCTTCCCCCATATTCACATACAGCAGTTCTCTCCCCCTAACTACTAGCTTTGATGAAACCAAAGCCCAACGGAGGACCCGCAGCAGTGATGCTGTCGGGGACCTCTTTGTTGAAGACAAGAGCAAGAGACAGGCGTCCGTGTGTGGACGAGAGCCGTTCATTGACAGTTCAGCTCTGCAAGGCGAGATTCCGCCAGAAGTAGAGTGCTTGCTGCTGCGGTTACAGCACCGCAGCTACAGTACCGGAACGGAAGCCCCATTCAGCTGGCGCCGAGCTAAGGAACGAGCTAAAGCAGTTGCTGCTGCAGCACGGGGCAGCAGCAGCACCAGTTGCATTGCAACGGGAGGCGGCTGGAAGTTCGACGGCGATATGTTGGTGCCAGAAGAAGCAGAAAAATCCAAAATACTTCGGCAGGAGGCCCTGCAGCGAGTGCGTCAAAGGGCAAGAGAGGCGCGGGAAAGGCAGCAGCAAGAGCTGCTGCAGCAACAGCTAGAGCAGGAGCAGCAGCAGCAGCGAAGCGAAGTCCTCAGTAAACAGTTACGGCGGCGCACTCTGCAACGAATCCGGGAAAATGTCCTGAAGCAAGAGGAAGAAAGGCAGCAACAGGAGCTGCTGCAGCAGCAAATGATGCGGCAAGCCGAAGTGCAGAGGCAGTATTGCGCTAGACACCGCAAAGCCCTTCAGCAGCGGCTGCTTCAGCAGCAGCAAGAGATTAAAGACAAGATAAGAATGCATGCGGAAGAGAGCGTCAGACAATCCAGGGATGCAAAGGCAAGAGGAGCTGTGTCTGCTTACTTAATTTGTAAATTATTCCTGCAAATGTGTGTGCATATGGGCACAACGATACGCGTTCTGTTTGACAAGACTTCCCATGGCTCAGAGCACATACAAATATAGCATGTATTCAATATGTGTATTTATTAGCCGCAGTGATAAATATTAATCTGGATCAATTGTCGGGCAGTATGTGAGTAGTACTGCATACACCCCACGTTGCCAGTTTCCCTCACGCCAGCTGCGGGCGGTGGCGGGACCGTTCACACGTCTGCACGCGCCTTGAAGAGGATTGTCACAGTGCATTTTTTAATTTGTCTGATTTTCTCATCGTCTTGTCGTGTGCAGTTGCATGTTCTTGTGTAGAGGGCACAACTGAGATGTGTCTTCTGAGGTGCCTGCAAGTTTTACCGTCCATTTCTCAATATGTCTTTTTTATTTCATCAGCACATCTGTTTCCCACTCAGCGCACGCTCGTTAAGTCTCTTCTAAGTAGCTCCGGTGTCTTCTGAATTTATGCGGACTGCTTCAGGAGCGAATCGCCGCAGAAGTTGCAGCCTTTAGGCGCCGCACAGTTGAACGGTTACAGGTAGAACCTAAGTCCCAAACCATAAGCCCTAAACGTTTTAGCTGCAAAATATAGGACCTAATATCTGTGATTTGAAGTCAACGATTGAAGAAGTAAAAGGATAGGCAGCAACAGCCAAACGGCTCCGTCTGTGGTGCCCAGCCAATAACACACATGCCAGAGTATGCAGTGAGGGCCCACAGGGCGAAAAGCAGCACGTTGGAACAGCCACCACCACAACAAATGGCCCACTAAGGAAACACAAATGCAACTTTAACCAAGCAGGTGATCCAGTGTAGCAATCATGGGAGGAAATCAGCAGCAGAACTCAGCGAGCGTGCGAAGTACCCTCGGGGTCTTCAACTAATCACCTTGGTTCAAAATCGAGTGCACCTACTTATTGTCATACGCCAGTATTTTGGGCAGCTTTTTACGTTCTAAGTGGAGACTCTTAAACAGTCATACGTACAAGCAAAATGATGATAATTTGCCTTCTGCATGCATTTCTTGTCTTCTGGGGCCTCAGAAATACGCGGCCGCCTCTCGGGCGTCCTCCATACCCAATGTTAAGTCCGAAGAACGGCAAAAAGACCCCAGGGTACAACCCGCCGAGTCTTGTGCATTCGCTGCTATGCATGAAGTTTTTGTCAATGTTTTTGGTGTTTTTGCAAGCGCATGTGCATGCATGATCCCATGCACTTCTAGTCGAGTGCTCGCCGGCACGTAAACGCTTGCATACGCAATTAACCTGTGATCAAAAATAGCGCGTATGTAAACCCCATGTCACGGAGGCTCACAGACAACTACAATAAGTGAAAACTACTGTTGCATTGGTATGCCATTTTCTGGCAGGTCATTGAGGGTCCAATGAAGGCTTTAATGCGTCTGCGGGAGGCCCGGCGCCTGAGAAATGAATTCTTTGAGGTGTAGAGAGGCCCCGTAAGGCTCCACTAGACTTACGCCCCTATCTTCTAACCCCCTTAATAATGAGCCGTTAGCCATTCCGCATCGGAGCATCTGGTGGAGTCAGTTGAGACTAGAAATGTTAAAGAGCTAAGCCGATTGGCTTTCATCAGGTGTATCCTGGATAATAGCGTTGGGTTCTGATTAACAGGCACCTGCTCGGGTTAACCGACGACTTGCACAGCAAGCAGAAAGGGGAAACGTTGCAGTCCTTGTCCCGTTTTAGTCTTTCAACAGAATGAAATGTAGCATTTTAATTCGCATGGCTTGCATCCGTTCTTCCCGCCGTGGTGTTCCTCCCGCGCTTACCCAGACTCCATGCTCTCCCCACTGCCTGTATCTCGAAACGTGATTTTGTCAATAATTTCGCCTCATTTATTGCTTACAACATCTGACTAGTGGGCTTCGTAGACCAGCAATGGCCCGATTCCAACAGACATACGCGGTTGTAAAGGGTTTCATTTGGAAACGCCAGATGGCAGCTTCAGAACGAACTGAACGGTAATCAACTAAGGCATGTTCCTTGAAAATAACCCCTCAAATTCAGCCAACACCAATGGCTCAAGCAGAACACAGCATGGCAAGGTGCAGCAATTGGGCGTAGTTCATTTCAAGTGGAACCGTGTCGCGTAATGACCGTCACATCTCAACTTTTATGGAGGTTTAGAACGCATCAAGTTGCTATAAAGCGTGTGTTGTATATAATAAACGCATAGTGCCCAGCGGGTCGCACCACCCCTGCAGTGTACATCCGGTGCCGTGTACGATAGTATGCTCTTAGCGCAGCATCACTCCTAGCGACAGGCAAGACTAAGCCGAATGACCACGAAAACAGTATCGCTGACAATTTCCCGGAGGGGTAGTTTGTGCAATCTCCTGCAGCAACCAAACGCTGAACCTAGAACGATTGAAGGATAGTTGCCTCGAAGGCATGCCGCACGTGTGGCTAACGTTGTGGTCATGATGCCTTGGTTGCTGCTACTTGTGCTCCCGTGGATCCTCCCGTTGTTGCTGATATTGCTTCTGCTGCATTGCTAAAGGCCCAATCTCAGTCAGCTCTTCCTTCTGCCTCTCTCAGTTTCAACGCATATCTCGGCTAGATAAAAGGCCACTAGCACGGTAGAGTTGAATTGTACTCATCTTCACCTTCGTGGATCTTTGCTCCATAACAGAGCCACTAGAGAAACTAGAAGCGTTACCTCGCTCACTAACACCACCAGCAGTAACATCCGACAGAAAGAATCTTTCATCATGTGGTGCCTTCGTGGTACAATGTTGCAAACAGATTTGCACTAAGACTAATTACTACTTGGGTTCAGTGCCTAATATTGGATAGGGTTGTCTCTAGCGGTAATCTGCCGGAGCAGCACTTCATGCAGGGTGCGAGCCCATTGTTCACATTCCTGCTCTTCCTGGGGGACAGCATTAGGGCATCTGAAGTGCTGCAATTCGATGCGTTGACTCATGCAAGGCATCAGGTTGAGAGGCACCAGACGTTGGAGTTGCCTCTGCTGCAAGTCATCTCCCCATTCAGATGATTTCGCACTGCTATACCGAGCCTGTAGCTCCTGCAGCAAGAGCAAGTCATCTTCCACTCTCGCCAGAGCTTCCCTACAGCAACAGCAAAACAGCACGAACACAACCGCCTTAAAGCATGCAGATGGGCGTACACGAAGATGGCGAACATATGTGTATGTACATGCATCTGTCCAGGTGCATCTATTTCGAATCAGGTGTGTTCACGGTCAGAATTACTTCTAATAGCCAACAGTTAGCAGCAGACATAGTGTATTGTTGGCCAGGTCAAGCGCAGCATCACAAGGTCTTTGGGTATTGGGTCTGGCTGCTGTGTGCTGCCTCCCCCTTTGCAGCTTGTGAATATGAAAAGCCCGCAGGTAGCGCTGCGGGTAGCTGCATTGATGCGGCACTTCAGCAAAAAGATACATACTGGGTAGCTATGAAGCAAATGTCATTGCGATAACGCAGATATATGTGCTTTTCTAGGCGCTTACTTAATGCGAGAACACCTTCGCTCTGCATTCCCTGAAACCGCCGAGGCGTATCCTCTCAAACTTGCTCGGCAAAGAAGAGACCCAAGATGGCCCCTGACCTCCTCGAGCTCCCTTTCTGCAAATGCAACAGCAGAACAGCAGGACCAGGTAAAGATACACCGCATGCAGGAGCAGCATGTTTAGCACTAGCGGGTGCATCATACAGAACAAGGATATGCCCAATGGCTGCAGCAACTGACGCCGCAAAAAGGAGCTTATAAATCTATTATACTTGAGGCTTGAGATGTTTGCGCAAATATTCATGTTTTACCCACATAGGCAAAGCTGTATTTGTACTAGCATACAAAAATGCAACTATTTACATATGGGCTTAAAAGGGTCCAAATAATCAGAGAATCCGCCAGTGTTCTCCATCTCCAATAGCTTCTGCCCATCTAGACAGAGTGGAAAAATGACGTCTGCCTGTCACCCTCCTCCCTCAACATTCCATTTAGTCGGCTCACCTGCAGCGACGAACATTCGGCGGGAAAAGAAGACTCTCGACCTTATATATCTGTTCTTCATGTCTAGCTTGCGTTTGCCGAGGCCTGTAGGGGGTGCAGCAGCTTCTGCTGGTCCCAGCGGGCGCTGCTGCTTTGAGCCTCCTAGCAGCTGCATGGCGTCCCAAGTGTGTGCAACGCAGCCCCCAACCAATCCATATTGTTGCAGCATCTGCACAGCGCTCTTCAGTGTCCTGGCAGCTAAAGAGGCACAGCCTTCGTCCCAGTAGCGTATGGACAGGTTGTAGATGCTGGCAAGGCGATGGGGGCAAAACGAAAGCCCAACAACTTGTCGGTTTTGTCCCTGAAAGGGAACTTGCACTCCGCTACCAGGACGCATCAGCAGCACTTGCCTCAAGTCGGATTCAAGGTGTCGTTCCTGCTGATGCGCAGTTACCCGCTGCATGCGCTCTGCGCAGCGCCATTCATTATGCGCCACGGTTACCTGCTGCTGCTGCTCTCGCCGCGCAGCCACCAGTTCCTGATTGCGTTGCTGCGGGCTTCTTGACTGTTGCTGCTGCCGCTGCTGCTGTCGATGCGACCGACTTGAAATGCTGCAGGCTTCATTTTTGATGCCAGTCGCTCCGGATGCAAGCCGAGTTCTAGGTGGCTCCTCTGCATGACCGTGAGGATTCTAAATGCAGGAAACGTCACTACCACAAACTTGACGTGTTCAGTATAAGATCACTATCGACTGTTTCACCTCAGCATCCCTTCTCTTTGCCTCTCAATTCCATTTACCTTTGCTTCTTCGGGAGAAGACGGACAGGAAGACGAGTCCTAATGATGTGTAAACCGCAAGGAAAAACAGGCTTCAATATCGAAAGACCCTCAATGCGCGGGCCAGCATACCCAGCCTACATACTCCAAGAAGACCTACACCATCAACTATAAATTCCAAACCCTACCAGCTGGTGCCATGAGACGTTGAGGTCAAGCTGACAAAGTGCATTTTTCGTCGGTGCCGACTTTAGGCGTATACCTCTGATTTTCCGGGAGAGGGGGGAGGGGGGGCGTCACTGACTGCTGGGAAGGGAATTCGCAATGCACCGTCTAGAGGCGGAAGGAATTTTTCGTTTTCCCATGAACCCTGAAGCGACGCTGGAGTTTTCGACGCATCAAGCAAGAAACGGAGCACAGGCGTGTCACAAGAATACAGGGGAGATAGCACTGAGAAGCAAGAAGGAGAAACAGCAGCAGAAGAAAGGATGAGCCTCACAATAGGATTTTTGGAACTCGGATGAAGCTGCCGTCTCCTCTTGCACATCACCGACGGAAAGAATCGACATGGTCTATAAGGCATGCCGCTCTCCTGGCTTCGTGAATGGTGGGCATGAACCTCAGCCATACACCCTTAACTGTGCCCTAACTGCCCGGAATTCTATCCTACGTCTCAGACCTTATCATCGGTGGGTGAAGACGAGGCAAGCCCTGAGACAATTGAATGACGAACTGTTAGGAAATGGATGCGATTTCGTTTCTTCACCTCGGTATTCACAATAGAACAGCATTCTAAGACCAGCGAAGTTCTATCCCCTAAACCATGGAGACGCCACGATTAACTAGGCGTTTATGTGGTAAGTCCCCAGTTCACTGTTCAGAGGTGTTATCCCTGTTCCTTGGGTGAAAGGAGTAATTCAGATCTCCGTGAAGTCGCTCTCGCCGGTGGTGCGGAGGAACTGGCAGCAACACGAACGGTTGGCGCACCCGGATGCAAACCATGCCTGAAATTGCCTACTCGCTTTCAATCGGCCTTTCAATCAGCAATATTGTGCTTTTTTTTGTTGATTTGCGGTCAATATATATGGTGTATGTGTGCATTATTCGGTTGAGTTATATAGATAGGCGTGCACCCGGGTGGAAGGTCCGACAACCAGGGGCGGGAACAGACGGGAATTGCAGATGCAGGAGATAACAATCGCAGGGAGACACCAATGATAGAAAGTAAACCAAATTTACTCACCTGAAGTGACGGGCAGAGCCCGTGATCTACTTGCGCAAATCAGTGTGTGCCTTGTTTACGTTGGGGTCACCTCCGCTCACGCTCACTGATCGGTGGTGAACGATTTATCCTGCGCTTGAAGAATAAGCACAAAGAACTGTTTCGATTCTTTTATATTCAATATCTAGAATTGTGTTCATGTTTTACTAATCAGGTGTGAACATTTTGGCCTCTTAACTGTCCAAAGGGGCCTGCGTGTCAACGGCAGTCCCTCTGCGTCCAGGTAAACATTTCCCAGCAAATTTCGGCGAGTATGATTTGAAAGGTAAGACCCCGTCTTTGCATATTTTGTTGTCTTTGGCCACATTGGAAAGTTACCAAGTGACGTTTTGTTTCATTGAGAGGGCCGGGGATGTTAAAATTACCTTATTGCACGAAGCCCCCCACATCAAGTGCGCGCTCTACGCAGGTGTTACACGAATTGTGGCCCAGTTTTGGTTTGATGCCTCCCAAGAACAGGTTTCTCCTAAATGAATACCACCTTACTAAAGGGAATTAACGAATTGTGCGCCCGGAGCATCTCTTGTGAGAAGGTTTGTAGTCTGGGCCATCTCAAAGCCTGCTCTCCGTCAAATGTAGACTGCACACCGACTATTGGAAAGAAGGTGTATCATAGCTGCTGCGTGGATATTGCTCTCCCGAGTATCCTGGCCATCTTCTAGGGACCACTGTCTCGGCGTATACGTGGGGAACAAGGTGTCATTTTGCTCAGACATGAGCTCATCTCTAATGCACTCGTAGCCGGTCAAGATACAAAATGCACACGTTTGAGCATACTAATTTGCGCGTGCAGTACACATATAAGCATTAAGCATCAGCTGAAGAATAGTGATTGGCTACTACATAAGGTACAAGTTCAAGAGCATATTTTGCAAACAGTGCTCAAGAATAGTTGTGGACCCCAATTCACCGTTGCAGGCTTTCGTGAAGCCAACGGACCCTGATTATTCCCATGCATCCTACAAATAACAGCTAATTTGCAATATCCTTCGCCGCTTGTAGTATCTTCTCTTCGAGACGCTGTAATGCAAAAGACAACCTTGGGATGGAGGGAAGTTAGTGGTGGTTGGCTGTTAATTTCACTCAGCAGAAAACGTATATTTCTTGCCAAATTTGAGCGCAGAGCCGCAAATGCAATAGGTGTCCTCTAAATGTGGTGGTAATCGCAATTAGACCTTTTCCACTAGTTTGCTTCCAGTTCTCCTGCGTCTTGGTAGAGTGTTCGGTTGCATAAAACCCACAAAAACAGCCGTCCTGTCGCTGGCCTTTGTGTTGTATATCTGGCAATTTCTCCCTGGATTCTCAACCTTGCCGATGATGTTATATGCTATGAGTTAAATTGTCCATCACAAAGGAAGCGCTAATGCCAGAACAGCTGACAACTGTCGTCGGGCTTTCGCCATAACCCTAAAACAAGTGCTGGGCCCGTCCGCCGGGGCATTTAGTTCATTTTCTGGCCTACTTCTCTACCCTATTTGTTTATGGCTTCAGTTACGACTGATGTTTTGTACTACTAGTGTTTTCTGTCGGAGCGACTGAAGAGACACCAAGACCCCACACACACAGAGACACTAAAGCATCCGCTACAAAATCAGCTACCGGTGTACGAGGAATAGCGTAACCCCACAAGACCCACCAAGTAGATATGTTTGCATGCACCGGAACGTATGGACAAGGCATTGGCCGTTTAAAGGGCCTTCGAAAAAGTGGGTAGGAAAAACTGCTCATCTTGGGTTAGGCAACACCATGCGAACTGCCTTCCGTTACAGGGGATGGCCTGAAATTGCCACTAAGGGGCTTCGTGTGCACCGTATCTGATTTCGTTGATTCTTCTGAGCATGTTCTTTTGCAACTAATATTTTTTCTGTTTTAATTGTTTCACTTTTTGTCAACACTATGTCTCCGTTCAACGTGCGGTGTCGTTGGTGTTCAGAAAGTTCCCTTCGCAATGCAGAGGCCTGCGCACCTGCATACAGGAATGCAGCTTCACCTCGCAATCCGCCACACAGGGAAGCGATAGAGAGTGGTGTTGTTAGTCACCTAAAGAGGTCACTGAAGAGCAACCGTAAGCTTGCTTCTGCGTGTTGGCTCTTCAAATGGATGGCGTGCGGGGAGGGTTCGAAAAATTATACTTACTAGTTAAATATGGGGACGAATTGTAGAGCATTACTACTTCCCAACTACTTTTATTACTCTTGTGACCGTATTAGTAACCACCATTGATATTATCTAACTGTGCTGGGGTCTAGACGTTCCAAAAGCGCAGACGGTGTAAAGGCCGTTGTTTGTGGTCGCACAGAAAAAGAGCGCGGGTTAGGTGTCCGCTGCGCACTTCAGCTCTTAACTGCTGCCATCCGTTCTCGTTCAGTTCGCCCCAATTATTATGTTGTTTGTACCTGCTCTGGGCTAGTAGATTTTACTATAGCATTATGCAAGCAGGCCCGCAAGACGGAAGGTACTGCAGTCAGTACGACGTAGGAGCCTGATGGATAATGCAAGCCTGCATCAACTTAAGCCCAGAAAAGGGCCATATGAAATACTTACATCTTTGCCGCATTTTCTGCTTACGAAAACTGTCGAGTTAATAGAGGGAGCAAAGAGTGTGCTTACCCAGTAAGCAACTACGGTAAGTATTTCAGAAAACAAAAATGCAGAATATGCCTCGCCATACGGAGATTCCCGAAGTCTAGGCTAATGCCATAGGCACACTTGATTTGCTTATTTGTGCCACATTTCTAATATCTCGTTTAGATTATAAAGCCCTGCGGTGGGGTGGGGCCCAATGCCTCGCCCGTGGGCCAAGGGTGCCAGGGTCACCTCTCCTTCAGCGCGGTTTATGTGCAACTATTGAGCGTACTAGCTCATGCCTCTAAAAACCGGTTTTCGTTTGGGTGCCTTTGAGGTTTTCTTTCTATTCGAAAAATAAAAAAGCGGTCTTCGCCTTGCTACAGCGCGAGAGGCGGGTGGGCCGGACCTCTATATGAGCTGGGAGAGGACCTCAAGCTGGTAATGTGCAGCTGGTGTATTTGAGCTTCCCTGCACACCATATCAAAGCCTAAGAAGCCCTTACCAACCTCCTTAACCACAGCTAGGAGCACATCACTTTCTAAGGGTCCCTTCAACCGCTCCCTTTGCCCACTAGCTTATTTATACACCAATTGCAGTTGTCCTGCCTCACTTCGCCCCAGTTCTAGAGCCCAGCCTTCCTGAGAAATGGGCACAACCGTAACCTCACTGAGAAAGTGCACAGGAGCTACTCCTGAAGCCTCACAACCTAACGGCTGTAACAGTAGCACAATCTGGTGGGCCCCGCGCTGTACTGCCACTCAAGGGGGCATTTCCCAGCTGTTTTGTGACAGTTTCTGTCATATGCATTATAATCCCTAAGCCTTAGAGGCATAAAGCAAGCTGGAGCCCCTCAACGCAGATATTTGCGCTAGGACGAGGTGGCCAGGGGAGGAAGGGCTCTGCTGTCCCGTCATAGAAAGGGACAGGGAAATGCATGCAGACAGCCTTAAAGGAAACATTTGAGGCTACAACACCTCTTCCTGTCAATCCCATGGTACGGCTGCTGATACATTTGCTGCATACGCAACAGCAGCAAGCTTCTGGCACGTAAAAAGTACTGGCGATTCCCGCAGTGCACCCGTAATGGGAAACCCACAGCCACAGCAGCATCAACAGCTGCAGCAGCAGCAACACGAACAGAATCCAGAAACGGAAGCTGCAGCACAGCGGCAGGTAGATCCACCGCAACGTCTTCAAACCCCTCGAAGCTACCCTATGGGACTCCCCAGCGGAGATACACCGTCACAGGTGGAGACACGCGAGGAGCTTTCTGCAGACTCTTCTGGTCAATGCCAGCTAAATGCTGGAGCGTTGGCCCTCTTCGCGCCTTCCATACGTACGCCGCCACCTAGGCGGCATTCCGCTAATCTCAAAGGGGAATGGAGGGGCCCTCACCGCCCAGAACTGTCCCGACCAACCCCGTCGACGGCATCAAGGATTAGGCACGCAGGGGACCGCCGGAGTAAAGTCGCCCCAACGGCTTCTGAAGAGCCGAATCAGCTTATAGAGACAACTCACTCCTTACGCCCAAGCTCTGGTCGTAAGGGCACTAAGGGAGCACCAGCAGAAGCTCACCGCTCACAGCTGCAGCAACAGCAGGGTGAACGCAACAAACTGCCAATGCAGCTGCAGGAGGAACAGCCAGTGGACCGTACTCACACAAGAAGTACGGGCCCTGCATATGAAAGAGAAGCTTCTGGAAATCCCAGTGCAACTGCTCCCTCGATAGTCACCCCACTAACCGAGAGTTCTGTCGGGACTGGAGCTCCACCTCTGTCGCACCTGCAAGACCACGGTAGCCCGCCTAGTGGAGATGGTGACCAACTGCAGACAATCTGCAGCACAAGCCTTGGTGAGGCTTCTGCTTCTGCACCACGACTTTCTAGGACATTTAGAGAATTCAAAGCAGAGCTTGGCTCAAACGCCATCCCCAGGCCTCCTGAAGAGAAGCACCCGAGACAGCAGCAGCATCCGAAGGTTCAGCGGGGCCCTTCGGGGAGGAGCCGTAGGGGCAGAAAGAGAAGGGAATGTGGCACTAGGAGAGCTAACTCCGGGCGTCGGCTGTCTTCAGGAGACCCTCTTGGGCCACCTGAGTCCAAGACTCAAGGTGCACGCACTAACCAAGAGCCTTGTGAGGATGAATGTTGCGGAATCATGCCTTACTGCGGATACCCTACTAAGCCTCTGCATGCAGCACACGTACTCGAGCTCTCACCGCTGCTGCTGGCTAAAATGCTGCAGCTCCTGCCGGTGGGATCAGCAGCAGCATTTGGTTCCACCTGTTGGAGAGCTCGCCGTGTGCTTCTATCTTACTCTTGCATTGTATCTCTTTCCTCTCGAAACGTCTCCTCTCTTCTGTCGCTGCCTCCGTCTGCACTCAAAAGGCAGCTACCGTTTCTCTCAGGTCTTAAAAGTCTCGAGATAGAGCTCACTTCAGCGGTGTCTCCTCCACTATTTTTGGGTGCAGCGGCAGCTGCGGCTGCAGCTGCAGCTGCAGCAGCTGCAGGAACTCTGCTGAGGCCTACAGATGCCGGGTACGAACAAGGAGGAATCAATAGCAACACCTGGCATGAACAGGCACACACTCCAAGAGGGACCCGCGGGGAACGAAGGCAGCAACAGCAGCAGCGGACCGCTAGTAGTAGCCGAAACCAACAAGCATTTCAACAGGAAGGAGGGAACGAAGGCCAGGGCGAGACAGCAGGTGGGAGAATTTCTGCAGTACCTTCGCTGTCTCGTCTTTCGTGGGCTTACGGGCTTGTGCAAGGAAGGGCACTTGAGCTCCTGCGCGTTCAGCCACCCTTTTGCGGAGGTACAGCTGCTGTTGGCGAGGCGCAGACCCCTTCAGGCCTACCCCCGTCCCCGCCGTCCCCTTGGACCACGTACACTGCAGCGAACGCTTCGCCGCTGCTCAACTCGCTCTGTCACCTCAAGTCCCTTTCCGCGAAGCTTAAACTCTCACCCACAGGAACCCAGGGGGACACTCAAGCATCTATAGAGTTGCTGCTTCTCCTGCAGATGCTGTTGCACAGAAACGCCCACTCTCTTGCCTCCGTAAAAATCGCAGTCGACCTTTCAGCCTCCTCAGTGCGTCTACAATACCTGGGCATAGCGTAAAACAGAGACCCAATACAATTAGAGGTCCTTGAGAGTACCTGTGAAGGCCTCAACGGGGCATCTGCCACATGACGCCCCTCAGTTTCGCATACCTTGAGAGTAAAGCGTGTGAAGCAGCGCGGCAGCCCGCTCGACGTTAAACACCCAGTGATATGTTATGTGTATCGGTGCACAAAACTATTTTTTACGTAGTATGGTTATGCAGCCCACGTGGCGCCACGTCCCTCCCTTGCTACTCCCGCCTTCTCTACCCCTTTTAAAGTCTCTGTATATAGACTTTCCTTTTCAAGTAAGGGAACAACAGAGGAGTGTCGCAAGATTCCCTGTGTCATGGTTATGGGTACAATGCAGCAAAGGACACCACATATAGCTTCAAGCATGTATATATGCGTGGAAAATAGCAAGCGGAGAGTGCGTGAGTATGATGATACCCCTGCAACCGTGCGCGTGTCCTTGAGCTGTAGAGTCACTGCATTTCTTTCGCTGCAGGTGACATCGAATCTATCGATTTCTCTAGGATTCTCAACGCTTTCTATCCACTCTGCCCAAAGATTGATGCTAATGAAAACGGGCGTACTTTGGCGGGAGCCTAAGAGCCCCGAAGGAGTTGTATGCCCCTGCTGCCCAAGACAACCGTCCTCTTGTGACAGGGACCCTGCAGGGTCTTCTGCGGCTGGCTGTGCACACTGTGGGGCATCAAGGGAAAAATGTTGCGCACTCCTTGAAGTTGAAGAGGGGGCGCTTGAGCGTCTAAAGGACCAACTAGGGGCGCCAGCCCCGGCTGCTCAGGCCACAGCTGTCACCGGAGATAATGAGGCTTGTACAAGCAGAAACAGTGTATATTTACACTCTATCCAACCTACAGTTGTCGCGTGTCTTCTTCTAAGCGATATTAGCATGGCGGTTCTGCACTCGGATGGGTCTCTTTGCATCATTCGACGCAAAGAAACGCCTACAACAGGCCCCTCACGAATTTTCTGTGGAAGTGAGCAAGCATCACTTTGCCTATTTAGCCCCGAGCCACCGTTGTCACGACGTGTGTGTTTCACATCTGGGTTCACTTTTAACGACAATTTACTGCCCCGCATGCTTCTTTCTCAGCCAATAATATTCCTGGGCGTATTGTGTATGCACATTTTAACTTGGGAATGATGCCACCGTATCTGCTTTCCAACTGCCGATGGTCCGTGGCTGTCCCCCTGCCTTCGCCCGTATAAAGTACTCTCTGATGTGAGCCGAAAGCAACAGTAATTCTTCTTGTGTTTGGTGCAGTAGGTGGAGGCCCACTGCCGCTGGCAGGACAGGCAGTCGCTCTCTTAAGGCGACGGGCCATTCTGCTGAGTGAGCTGTCAGCCGTGGCCGGGAATCCATTCCTCTACAGAATGAACTCGAGTACTGTAAATGCGCCTCACGGTGACTCTACCCCTGACACGTCGATTTCCCAAGTGAATATCACATCTGCAGAACAGCAGCAGATGGTTCAGCAGCAGCAGCTGCCGCAAGCTCAGCAACAACAGAGAAACTCAGAATCGCTTCCGAACGCGCCACCTGCGCGTGGAGCAAGGCCTACACATAACACCGGCGTGCAACAGCAAAATGCCCAACACGAAAGGGCGACGCAGGAAATATTAGTTCGCGCCCTGCAGCATCTTCTTGAAGTTGGGGCAGAAAGTCTGCAACTCTTAGACGTGGACGGAGAAGTTCGCCACTTTTCAGTTTTGCATGAACAACTCAACTTCAAATGGTAAACGACACTGCAGACTGAACAGTGAAGAGAGCTTAACGATTACGTAAATGGTACAGAAACATTCCAGTGGCACGGTAAGGCAGGTTTTGGTGTCTACAGCAAGGTGTAATGTAGGTGAAAGCAATATTCCCGGGAGCTCTGCACTGTGCGTTTTCCCAGTTCTCCGCGTGTATCTGCCTTCAGCCTGCGTCGGCTATCCCTTGGGTGGACCATCACCCCAGAGCTGCAACAGCTGCTATTTTTGTTCAGCAGCAAAAAGCTGCGGTCACTGCAAAAGTTGAACTTCAATGGCCCTGCCCAAATCCACCCTGAAGCCTACATACACATAAACCGCTTCATTAGTCCCACAATCAGCAGCACCTGCAGTCTCTGGGGCGAGCCGTGTTCGGCTCCCCTAGATGAGGCAACTCTACGACGTAGTGCTGGGCTCAACAACTATGGACTTGGCCAAATTCACCTCCAGCTTTATGCCCTCCTGAACTGCGGCGCATGCAGCGTCTCACAAATAGACTACGCACGCCAGCAGCTGCTGCAGCAGCAATTACAGATGCTCAGAGACTGCAAGAAAAACAGAAGCATTGTGAAGGAGATCAAAAGCCAAAGCGATCCCCTATGTCTGGAGACGGAGTATGAATTGCTCCGTAAGGCAGGATGTTCCAGCTCATGTGGCATTTCGTATTTGCCGTTGGAGTTGATGTGGAACTACGGTCTCTCCCTGCAACAATAGCTATGTTGTGATTAGGTGCCGAGGCTCTGCTTGTGGCAAGTCAGCCTGAAATGTCGTGGCTTGTGGCTTTTGGCTGCAGCGGTACCGACAGAGGATGGGAAGGAGGAGGACACTTCTGAAAGCCGAAATCAGGTGAACAATCGGCGCGTAAAACATCGTAGGCGTAGCTGCCGGTCATTTTCCCCGGACACCACTATGCATAATTAGGCAGTGAATAGTGCTTGTAGACAGGAATTGCATCAACATAATAAAAGAGGCGCAGCAACTGCTAGCTGTAGGAGCATTCCGAGGGGTAGTGCTTGTAGACAGGAATTGCATCAACATAATAAAAGAGGCGCAGCAACTGCTAGCTGTAGGAGCATTCCGAGGGGTAGTTGTCATCAAGATAAAGGGCGAAACCAGCCTGCGTCTCCGCAGGACATACCACTCACTCGCGAACCCCGATTTGGTCCCTTCGTTTGGCTCAGGCCACAGACAAAGAGAGGTCCTTCACATCAGAAGGGTCGTCTGAGGCTAGCACCAAGGAATGCCTCGGAACTCAAAAGCCGGCAGTCGATACTTGCAGTAGCGTCACTGCTGAGTTTAATCGGATGCTGATTCAGGAGGACGGGGCAGGGCACAGCAAGACTGAAACGACAAGCGGGAGTTCTTGTCGCCACCGAGTTCAACAAGTGGGGTTTCTGCAGCATTCAGTCTGTATGGTTTAGGGTTTACGGCTTAGGCGTGCCTGGTGTCGCCCCCCATTCAGTATTTTCATTCCTCCTGGAAAGCCCCAGGGGAGGAGTTTCTCTTGCTTACTGTTGAAAGGCTAAGATTACGGAGTCGCAATGAATTGTTCGGTGAGTGCAGGCAGGGTCCTGGTTGTGGCGTGCTATTCCCTCCTCCCTGCGTGGTCTCGCGGGGTCTCGCGGATGTCTTGGCGATGCAACTGCTTCGTTGGTGGAGTCTCAACTGGAAGTTGCGAATGCGGACCCAAATGGAGGGAGAGTAACAACACAAACCTCGCCACAGTATGAGCACCAGGGACAAATTGTCCCCACTGCTGCTGGTCAAAAACATCCTCCTGACGATCCTTCCCATGACCCTGTCGCCCCTGTAGTTCAGCAGCAGGGCGAACACGGCCTACCTGCACGCAGGCGCAGACCGTCGGCGAGTGAGGAAGGGAACCGGCATTCCTCAGACACAAACAATACAGCAACAATAGTTCCGTCTGGGGGACCCCGCCCAAAGAGGCGGCGGCTTGTGGAGGTGCCCTTAGGTGGGCCGAGTGGCGCAACCAAGAAGGTCGAGGCACTTAGGAGGCACCTTACTGCATTTGCTCGAGAGCATCTGCCTCTACTAGGTGACCTTGTGTGTCCACATCTGGAGGCTCTTGGTTCCCCCACTGGGGCGTCTAGGCCACCCCATGATGAAATGCTCACCGCATTAGAGTATAACTCTAAGGACACATCCGAAACCCAGTTGAGCTTGAGACGTGCAGAGCTGCAAGTTTTGAAGGGAGTTACCTCTTTTTTGCTGGATGCTGCGGGGGAATTTCTAGGGCCAATGCTGGAAGAGCCTCATTGCAGCAGTGGGACCAGCAACATTGACAGCGGTAGGGACAGCAGCCAGGAGAGCAACAAAGTCAACAGCGTAACTTTTGAGCGAGTGTCGGCTCGTTCTTCCCCATTAGCCGGGCGTTGCTTTAATCAGGCTTCTAGAAGCTCCACTACTGGCAGCGTGGCAGCGTCACACCCTATGAACCAGTTACAACCGTTGCTTCGAGAGCTTCAACGGCAGCAAGAGGAAGACGATGAGCTGTCTTTGCTACGTCTCCTACAACATTCTCCTTCTCCCCGCACCAGCTGGTCCCACGGTGTTTTCTTCAAGTATGCGTATGTTGACCTTGATTTCGAGTGTCTCGCCACATTTCGCATTTGCCTTTGCCATCATCCCCTATTCATCTTCTACAAAGAACATGAGAAGGGGTTGCATGTCCTGCACGTTGACGGTAAGTAAAGAGCCATTTGGGTCTTCCGTGCTTCGGCCCTCGTTCATAGGCGCTGCCGGTAGTGCGGTTTCTGCAGTCAATTTCCACGAATCCAATATCTTCTCAATCGTTCTATTTTCCGGTACCTACGGAACCGGCGAACTGTTCTTTTCCGATCACCTGTTGCACGTACGACTGTCCACCTCACAATTGGTCCTTGTGCCGGTGCAGGTGTATTCAACGCTGGATCTGATAGCGCGCAGGAGAAAACGGGTTAGCGTTCCTCTCGTCACTGACAAGGCAGCCACCATGTTCCTTTGGGAGGCAGTATATTACTTTTCCTGCTAGTACCCTATTGTACACACCATCGCCTGGGTTGAACGTCTTGACCCGAGTTGTGTTGCTGCTCTGCCCCACTGCGGTGCCCATGCAGAGCTGTGGAGGGAGCGGTTGTCGTACAACTACGTGTGCGACCCTGCGGCCCCTTTCGAACAGCAACCACAGCAACTACAGCAACAACAGCATCTGCAAGAAGACCGACGTTCCCAGCCCCCTCAAGAAAGTCAGGAGGCAGCTGAATCTGCCGGTGTAGGCCGGCCTACTTCATTGCGCGGCTCTCGCAGAAGTGGAAGCAGTGGTGATGTTAGGGACACATTAACAGACAGGATTGGGAGCCGATCCGATCGATCAGCCCGTATCCAGCTGCCTGAGGGATCGATTGCTGGATGGAGGGACCCTCTTCTAGTGACACCCCCCCCACCTCGAGAAGGAGACATCAGGCTCTGTTCTGCCAAGGCAAGCATCTGCCGTACTCTGGTCTTGCCAACACTAGTGCAGGAGGAGACTCCGTCTACCTTGTTACCTCATGTGGGACCTCAAATGACAGGTAACTCTATATATCCACCATGGGCGCATCGCCTTTTGCTCGCCCACGTCTTACTGGTATACTCCTGTGTGCCGCTGCTTCATCCACTTCAATGCACGAGATCTTGTTTCTGGGTTCCTGCTGCCTTCGCCTTCCCCTACCTATTTAACTAGGGTACCAGTTCACTTCGCTTGCACTGCCATTCATAGCGGTAACCTAACTCTCGCCCATGTTTCTTAATCCGGTGAGGGTCATTCCCATGCTGCAGGGTATGACCTATTTTGCCTGGAGATGTGGTCAGTCTTGTCTCTGTGTCGCGATCAAGTGTGCCCTCCCAGCCTCGCGCAATACTTGGCGTCCCTTAGACGTCTTTGGGCCGAGACACTTACACAACAGCAGCGAGATATCTACAACAATATTATAACTCCCAAATACATTGCTCGGCGTCTGAAGGCTCCTGACCTCACCTTCGAAGCCCTTCCACCCTGGTGGCAACAGCAGCAGCAAACCCAAAGCCGCAGGCGGCCTAAGGGTGCGGGCGGTGCCCCGTCTAGTGTAGAAGGGCATCCGCCTGCCAGCTCTCCAGAAAGTCTTTAGGAGGCCATATTCTTCTGCTTCTTTTGTGATGGTATCGCATTAACATATCTCAAAGTGCAGTGGTTGTTTGTGAATATCCAATTTCGTTAGGTGCCTAAAACATCGGACCTGAACCTCTTATTCCGCTTTGCCTTAACTTCAGGCAGCAGCTTTGTTGCAGTTGATGAGCTTTACCATGCATGCTTAATGACGTAGCCGGGATCGCCTAACTCTGTTATGGAAGTAATATAGATAATACTCCCCGTGTCTTTAAGATGAAGAAAATTACCAGCAGTACTCTGCTGCTCGAGTAACTGCTCATTAGCTCAGCAATTTCCAGTAAGTTAAAGCACACGCACTGCGCTGCCGCTTTTTAACACAGAGTAAGTTTTAGGCAAGCTAGAAGGCTCGGTTCCCTGTTAAGTAAAGCCGTGACTCCAACCGTGGAAGGAGGTGAAATCCAGGTTAATCGCTGTTGAATCTATGGTAGAGTATGGGTAGTTCCCACTATGAGGGGTGTTGATATTGCAGTGAACGTGACGCCGGCAACTTGCAAGTAATGTTCTGCGGGCCTGAGTCATTATAAACCACTTCCCCCAGCACTAAGCACTCCTGGTAGTGATACTTTTGTAGTATTGCTTCTGCTGTAGAGGGATGCATAAGTCTAGCTATCCATCTACCCAAGGCACTTGAGTGCCTGCTTACCCCAGAACCTCTGAAGGCCTGCTGGCGTGTGCAGCTCATCTGGCTTTTACTGCCCTATAAATGACTGATTCAATCTTCCCTAGAGGCCTGCTGTTACTGTCAGAATGCATTCGGTCTAGCAACAAAGGGGCTCAGGGGATCGCTAGAGTGTGCACCATCGTATGACGTTTCTACGCAAGCGCGGGGAGCACGGAAAATTCAAAACACCCTCTCAGAAGAGGACGGACGCCTTCAGTTTCTTCTGACGCAAGCAAAAGACCGAGTTCCATCGAATATGCAGCCAGTGCGCACTCAGTCTTCGAAAGTGTGGAAAATATACACGGACGTCTCGCTGCAAAAAGCTTGACATTATGAGCAGTATTGTCAAGCGTAGCCACTTTTAAAAAGCTCAGTGACCTCTGTCGCATGCAGCCTTATCGACTATCTTGAGGTGTGATTGCACGCCAACCACTTAAGAGATGTGTATCCTGTTACTGGAATTTCGGCTCTCGGTAAAGCCTCCCAGAGTTGCTTCCTCACTGCGGGTCTAACTTGACTATAGTTTATCTATGCTCTCTGCCTCTATGGCAGGAATAAAGGCGCCAGAGTCCTGCTTACGATGAGGCGGCGGCACCAGCGTTTCCGTTGATGGAGTAGCATTCATGCATTCGCTGCTTTTTTGGTGTGTTTTTGCCTGTGCGGCAGTGGGGCAAGCTGACTCGGGACGGGGACACAATTCCCTCTCAATAGCATCGTCCATCAATAGTAGCTTTCCGCTAGTTCCACTATTGTCGGTGTTTCCATCCGTAGGGATAGCGGAAATTTCAGTGAGCCTTTTTTTGTCTTTCACTGCCTCACTGAAGCCAGTTATCCTGCCAAGCGCAGGGGAAACTGCCGGTTTGCCGTTGACGATCTTTGCGGTCTCCGCACTACGCGAAGGAACATTGTGTCTTGTTAGGGCTTTTGCGGCCAGCATAGCCGTACGTTGTAGGTTGTTTCCTTGCCGATTCCTTTGATGTCGGATTATTGAAATGGATCCCACGTGTTTTTGCATGCGAAGGAGCAAAAGGTTTTTCTCCCTACGAAAACTGTCTTCAAAAAGTTGGCTAAAGATTGATATACGTGGGTCCCTGTGATATGCCACAGGAATGGCATTGCATCGGTACTTTGCAGGTGTTCCATGCAGGCCTTCCACTACAGGAATAACCCTTGCTTTGTGGGTAGCTGTGTCAGCGTGTGAATGCCTTCGCTGCCCACTGCTGCGGTTTCGAATTGCCGCTCTGTTGCTGTGGGAGTCAAAGTAGGAGGCCCTGCTGCATGTGCTCAAGCTTCGGCGGCTTGGAGTTAAACTGCTCATCCTAGGCAAACTGTTACACTTGCGGTAAGCTCGCACATCAGGAAAGGAGTCTGGTGGCTCGTTTTTGCAGCATCCATAAGTGCCATCCCAATTAAGTGAAACGCTCCTCTTGGGCTGAAGATTTTGAATAGGAATGCTACGAATACCGGGCTGACCTGGTGCAAGAGTAACATCCATCCGTGAGTATGATCTTTCGTACTGGATAGCTCCCCCTGGAGATGGAAAGGAGAGCTCCAACCCGATGGCTAACTTTGGGCACGGCAGTTCGGCTGTAGCTCGTGGTAACATTGGTCCCGCCGAATCGGCCGAACCCTTTTCCAGCGTTTCACTAGCATCCAGCTGCGAGATCTGTGGCGGCGCCCGCTGAGTTTGCAACGTATTCCTCTTATAGTGTGCTTCATTTTGCTGGGGATTAGTGAATGATTCATCGCTTTCTTTAATAGGTGCAGGGTTTCGTTGGAATTGCCTAGCAACACCTCGATCTGAGCCCAGCGTCTGATAGAGTACTTCGTCTTGCGACTTTTGGGCGCATTCTTCCTTCATGGACGGTCCAAGTGACGTTCTCCTTTTTTCCGGCAGTGCCTCTTTACGCACCTTTGGGGTCAGTGGCTCCTGCTGCACTTCCGGAGGTGGCCCAGCCGCGGCTCCACCGATATCTTCAGTCTTCGACGTGCCGGCCAGCCGCTGTGTCGGGTCACTCAACGGGAAAGCAAGGGCTTCAGAACCAACAAGCGGCTTGTGTGCTCGCTGCCCACATGCACCGAGAATGGCCAATGCTGCTGCTGCTGCTCCCTCGAGAAAGGCGGCAGGCCCTTCTTGAGTACAAAAAGCGGTTGTCTTCCTGCGCCGCAATCTTGGTTGGCGTTGACTCCGCCTAAAACGCTGCTTTTTGAATGTACCATCGTGGTGCAGGCGGTTTATTAAGTGATTCGCCCGTTTCATGCTCTGCTGAAGCTGAAGTTGCTGAAGCTGCAGAGATTGTTCAAACTGCTGTTGCTGAATTGTAAGCTGCTTGTTGAGCAATTGTACGTGCTTTTGCCGACTGTGTATTCTCCACCTTAAGGCTTCCTCCTTCATGCACAATGTACGAGGGGGATAGCAGTGGCGTATCAATGCCCCATGGCGGTGCACCGGCAGAATCCTCTCCCTCATATGATGACTGCAAAGGAGTGGAACGTGACAATACGTGTTGTCTTGCCATGTTCCCGAACAACAGAATCCTACCCCACTACTCCGGGGGCCATCGGTAGAACAGCGCAGACAATGGGCTGTTGCCCTCCTGAGGGCCCCAGAGACGCGCGCGACCGTCCGGCCGCGATGTCGTGCAGCACCTTGTGAAGGCTGGCTGCTTCCACAGCTGAACCCGTGAAGGCTAGTGTTAACAGTGATTGGGCAGTAACTATACGCCGGCGTATTCTCTTGGCCACTGCCTTGACCATGCATCACTGTTGGAAGAACTCTGTACGGCTGAACACGGGAAGGGTGACCTGGAGTCTCTTCTTGCAAATCAGTCGGGCACTGTCCGAGTGAGCTGCCTGCGGCGCACCCCCAGGTGCCTCCGCTTGAGCTTTTCAGGTTAAGAGATGTCTCTGCACCTCTTGCACAGCACTGCGTCTGCGAAGTTTTCTCATTAAACTGGAATCCTCCGCCCGGCAAAATCCCGCTCTGGGGAAGTTCACACCCACTCTCTGTTGTAACTTCCCCCTCAGTGATTCCATCCCATCCCTTCATATGTTGGAGCACCACAGACCCACAAGCAACCCGAAAGGAACTATTAGCGATGCCTGCTGGACTTATGGTCGGCTTTTCAGGAGCATGATCGTCGGCGATATGAGGCACCGGTTCTCTGCCCCTAGTAAAAGGCATTGCTTGCGGACCTCTAAGAAGGTGTGGTTCAAGAAAGTGCGGTAGCGCATGAAAGCGATCAAAAGTATTTGTTCCTCCATCAGCAGTGCTTAGTTGGGCAACGCCTCTTGCAACGGTCACTGAAAGCCCCAGGGGTAGCTCGTGAGGCCTCGCACTGGATTCTGGGCCAGGTTCGTGCAAAAGGTGCGCGGATTTCTCCACATCCGCTAGAGTCGCCGACCCGCGAAGTAACTTTGAAGACATATTTGCTGCATGGCCTTGTGTGAGTTGGCTGTAAGGAATCCGGCTACTGGTGGCAAATATGAGATCCCTGTCGGTTTTTGAGTCAACGTCACTCCTTAACTCCATTGGAAAAACCTGTGGCGTTCTCGGCTCTTGGTAAGGTTTTTCGGTTCCAACAAGCAAAGGACAGGGGTATGCTGCACCAATAGCACAGCCACTGAACGCCACAGTACCTTCTTCCTCTGGGGCCAAGACAGAGCGGAACACGTGATCTGCTTCAGAGCGGCGAGGTGGCACTGTCGATGACCGTCTCGGGCCACTATCCATGGGCTCCTTACTGAGTGCGTCTCCCGTGCGTGGTGTATCCGCGATTGGCGAACAAGCTACCTGTACATGAGCTGTCACATATGCTTCTTTCGGTTGCTTAATTAGCACTAGCGCCTGCTGGGCATCTTCGGGAGAGCCTGCACTGCACGACAACGATTTGGAAGCGCGCTGCCTGCAGCTCATAGGTGGGCCACTATTGAATTGCTGTTGCGTGATAACATGTGATATGGATTCTATACAGGACGCAGCGCGTCGCTTGAGTGGAGGAAAGCTGCAAAGGCGAGCATTAGCTCCCATGCGGTGTGGTTTGCTCGCCGTCACACTTTGGGCCGCTGCATCGTCACAGCCGTTTGCGACGGCATGGTGTTCTCTCAAGGTCGCTTCAACTATGCTTTCTCGAACTATGCAGCCACTTAAAGAACTTTTCGCAGGTGAAAAGGCTGAAGGGAATTTTTCGAACAGCTGCACTCTTGTAGTGAGGTGAGCTCCAATAACTTTGTCTTTAGTGGTATTTGATGCACTCAGGCTGCTCGTGTTGCAGCTGCTCTCCTCCCCACCTCCGTCACCTGCCACTTGCTGAACGGTTACTGCGTCATCATAGTGATGCGGTCGGTTTCTTTCCCCCCCCCGCATAACCAGTCCCTGTCGCCCACAAGTGCCCTTCATTTGCCTTCTGATGGACCTGCTCCATAGCCGCTTCTGCAGCTGACGTCTTAGCAACAGAGTCTTGCTGTGACGCACTTTGTAGGTTTGTAGAGCGGTCCTTCTTTTCTGGTGCGCTGGGCTCGGCAATCGTGTGTATGGAGTAGTCCCCTCTGCTTTAGACGCTGTAGTGATATCATGCTTGGCAGATCTGTCCTGCCTTGTGATGGGACTCCTTCCAATATGGCCCACCTGCCCCTGAAATGTACTATGATGGCCCATTGAAAATACTATATTAGAGGTAGTTTTGCTGTTGTCACGTACACTCTGTGTCGCGTTGCCAGTCGTGATTGTCGCTTCACATTCTGGCCCTGTATTTGATACTCCTTGCTTTTCCTGCCCAGGTTCTCGCCGAATATTTTCGGCATCTGCAGATATCTTAATCATTGCTTCTTGTCTGCACGAGCTGAAAGGAGAAGTTGGATGACATGGCAAATGGTTATCCGGGGTGAAATAGTTTTCCGGGGTGCTTCTGGTAATTAGGTACTCTCTATGGCGCTCAGGGGACCGACGAAAAACATAAGTCCCTCGTCGCTGCGATCCGCATGATGAATCTATGTCGTCCGTCAGCATCTTCACAACTTCCCCAGATGCCCACTCAACGTGGACGTCACCAAATGATAACCCACGAGCATCACTCTGAGTTTGTTGCACACACTGGCTACCTGCTGGGGTGTACGTTTTCCGCCGACCTGAGGTGGACAGGAAAGAAATAAATAGGTAGGTTAGAAAGTGCATCAACAATACTCTTATTTGTTGGGAATCGTAGCAACACAGCTGCAATGCTTGCTGCGTTCTAGCATTCCATGATAGTGGTATAGTCATGCTTCTTCTTCAAGGTGCTTTTGGCCCTGATGCTTTGTAGCATGACAACGGGTAAGCGGATGCCGCCAGCGCTGCTCACCTTCCACGCGGGGCCTCATGACGGCGTACCTCTGGTGGAGTCTACGGACGGTGAGGCATTCTCGTGGTGATTCCACTGAACAAGCGCAGTCTCTCGTCTAACGGCAGTGTCCTGTGGAACTGGAGATGAGCACAAAGTGGGGCCAATCACCGTCTTAGAGCGCAGGATCCGTCCATGGGATATGGTTGTGGAAATGGTAGATTGCCCATCATCTTTCTTGATTTCCATATCATGCGCAGAGGTGTCATGTTCTGCTATTGCATTACTTGCCGCGTCCAAGTTTTTTTCTGCTCCCTCCAGGAGTTCCTCTTGACTTAAGATTGAGCGTATCCTCTCAGGCGCAGCGTCCATAGGTTGCACGACTTCGTCAGCAAGGCACTTTTCATTGGTGGTATGGTGAGGTTCATTAAAATCTTGTTCTTGCACATCTCTCTGGAGCTGCCTAGATTCCAAAAATCTCAGATCCGACTGCTTTGTGACCCCATCCTGGGTTGACTGTATGGAAGGTTCACCAGGATGCGACAGTGGTTCACAGCCAGTGTGCAATTGTATGCAAGGGCCGTTGATACTAGATGATCCATCTCCTTCAGTGCGACAACGGCCGTTCAGATCAGACGGTGTTTTTTTTTCCATTGCCGACTGAGGAGAAAGTTCTTCTGGATGCTCCGCAGCAGCTGCCACGAGGTGTCCGCAGATAGGTGCACTGAAAAAGGGTTCTGGTAAGTCGTTTGCATGCATATGTTGCCCTTGCAAAGTACGCGTCTTGAACTGGATTGGTAAAACCAGCCCTGTTTGAACGAGTGGATTGGCATGGTCAGGTGACGTTCTTGCCCCCTCTGTATTATCCAACTCGTCAGAGACTGGGGATGCGTCCACCACGTCCAGTGTGGGCATTTTACGTCCACTCAAGGTCGGCGCGCTGCCTGTGGGAGAGTGAGGACGCTCCAATGCCTGCTGAAACAGCCCACGCTCAAGCACAGCAGGAATGCCTGTCGACGTGGCAAGAACCCCAGCTAGTAACGAAGCCAGCATGCATATACAGATTCGCTGGGTAGTTCATATATATGAGTCAGATTTCCTCAAGTGCTTTTGTTGGTGAAAATTCGTTTGGATGTATACGAAGTTACATTTACCACCTTGACCTCGCCCGGCTTATCACGCTTCAGAAGGGTGAGCTATACCAGAGAAGTAACATTTTGTGGAGAAAAATCCTTAAGCCACGTGGTCGTATCTCCTCTAGTGGAGGGAGGCACGTTAGCCACCGCTACCGCGGAGGGACTTTGGCGTTTTCCACCGAGGACCTGGCAGCTGTCATCACTGCAGCGCGATGGAAGTTGCCTTGGACTATTCTGATGTGTCTGTTGGTAGAGAAGAAATCTTTGCGGGTCTTCTATTTGATCAGTGCCTCCTGAAGCTGCGAAAAGCAGGGGATGGGAAGGTGGAGATACAGGGCGTGATAACGCCACCATTCTGCTTGGAGAGGCGGTTCGGCTTCGCGGTGCGGAGGTAACCAGAACAAGCTCGGGTACAGGGGACCCTTCGGGTACATCGACAGGCTCGCTGGACCGTTCAATAGCAGGAACGGGTATTACGTCAGCAGGGACGCCTTCGGCAATAGTATAATGAACTAGCTCGCCTGTGACGGGGATTCTTGAGAACGTCCCCGGGGCTTTTCGAGTGCTGGGGGACTTATTCTGCTTCTTACAGCAAATTAGTGGGCGATTGTCTCCATACGTTACACCAATTGTCCGCAGGTGCTGCGTGCAGCAGTAGTTACCAGAAATAACCTTTAACAAGACGGGTTGTGGTAGCCACATCAAGAGGGAGCGCCACCGCCAATGCGGACACGCATCTTTCTCCGAAGGAACGTTCGCATGGGTAGTATTAGTGCCCCCGAAGGCTGCCATTGTAAGCAGGTGCGTTATTGAGGGCGTTCCACCCAGGTACACGATAGTGTATTTACCCCCGCTATTCTACCTAGAAAATGCTTTCTCCATGTCACTTCTTTTGGCGTGCCCTCCTACATTATAGAGGGTAATGCAGCTTCATGGTGTCCAGCCAATATTGGTATATTCCCCCGCACCATACTCAAAGTGGCAGCCGGTAAATGAATTTCGAATGTTTAAGCATGGCGGGATAAAGTTCCGTTCACTTTACAACAAAACAGAGCAATACAAAACCAATACTTCAGGACTGCAGCCCCGTGTCCTGTCTGTCTTCATCCTTGTTCCATTGGCTTGGGCTCGGAATATGTACGCACCGGCCCGGACTGGCCAGGAAAAGTGGGGCTGTTACGTATGCTTCGCCTGTGCTTACACCCCAGTAGTATATGTATGCTTTATTATAATTTGTTTATAAACATCACGGCTTGATAGGGAAAGAAAGAGTCAATGAACTGCGCAAGTGACCTAGAGGCCGCCATCCACGGCATTTGCCAAGGAAATCGAGTGGCCGTCGAATTGGAGGAATTTCCACAACGTTCCACCCCGTAGCTCTTGGAAAACCTTACAAGTGATATTATGAAGGATTAAACCAAGAAACTGTACCTGGGTTGAGGTAGCCAGTTGTGAAAGCCGGTGGCGACCTCTTGCCGCTGCGTATCCTCCTGGCCAAAGTGTGCCGGTCAAGATCAACCGAGTTTGCTGAAGTTGAGGCTCAGTTTCCACCCACCACCAAATCGCATACCTTTTATAGAACAGAGGAATCAGGCTGCTGTCATGGCAGGTCGGGTGGAGCCTCACAGTGCACCGGTGGAAATGCTGCGTGATGATATTGGTCTGCTGGAAGGCACTAGCGCCTTCGGCTCCTCTCCGAATAGCACAGCAGCACAAAACCCTTGTGTTGACCAAGCTGTTGAATTGCTGCAAGAAGCCGCACGAGCTGTATCCAGTCTTGGTATGTTCTGTGACACACTTGCGTTTCAGTTGCCTCTCAGTTGCCTCTATGGCTGGACCATCAACTAGTTAATATACACCGACCGTCTCTTGAGTCTGGCATGTTATGTTCCTCTTGTGGCTCCGAATCAGGTGCATGCGTTGACAGTAATGGCGTTGGACTAGTTGGATGTTTGGATGCATCCAAACCAGAGGCTGACGGAGACACGTGCCTCCGCACTAGACGGCAGATGGCAGAGGAAACTGCAGTACAAGAGTTTCAGCAGTTCGCGGAATCAGACATACGCGACATAGAGGATCGAGTGACTGAAATTGAAGCCATAATTAGGAACTTGAAAAAGAAAATTATGTTGAATAGCCAGACACTGGATCGCCTTACGGCCTACCGGCTAGGCACAGTACGATCCTTAACATAAAATGCAAACGAGCACTGGTAAAGTCATTTCAAACGAAAAGTTGACTGGCCAGCGCCAAAGTTGTGAACTTTAACATAAATGCGTTTTCTTACACGGGGAACATTCCAACAGTGATTTCCTAAGGGGAGCGACGAAGTTTTCTAGTTTTTGCCCCTCTATCCGTGGGACGTCATTGTGGCAAAGTGCATCTGCGTTGCCCACGGCCGACACCCTCTCAGTATCATAACGGTACAGCGGATTCCACCGGCATGAGCCACAGATAGTGGTTACTAAAATTATTGTTTTCACCCAGCCTGGGGCGGCAATATCTGGAGACTAGTGGCCTACTCCTCGCTATGTCGCCGCCTAACCGTGCCGGACTATGTGGCCAAATTTTTTCCATAACAGCCTTTTGAGAGGAGTAAGCAAGAGAAGGAGGAGCAGCACTTGTAACACAAGCTCTTGTGCTCTAATCAACCAAATGTGTAAGGAGCGCTAGTAAATGCAATACATATTGACACGCCGACTCGAGAAAGCATTATACCGCACAAGCCGGCATATCCCTACAATGGCTGGCTCGAGCCATTGTTACCGTGAGGTACAAACTTTTGGCAAAAAGAAGCAAAAGCCACATTCTTCAGCTTACTCACGAACAGGCAACGAAAAATTACGCCCTATGGTATCTACTTTGCATTTCGATGAGAACTCCTCTGGCAATACCAGCAAAAGTGGGCGGCCAATTATCCCACGGACCCTGTGCAGGAGCATTCAGCCTTTTTCACGCTGTCTTCGGCATTTTATGCCGGGAATTCAGACCAACCGCTAGGTATCCTGATTAATCCATTCGCAAGGAATCAAGTGTGTCGCACCCGCAGCTCCGAGCTGGCGCCCATCCATGAGTTGATGTGCATATGGGTGCAACAACTCTTGCAAGGGACTCCAAGGTAAAATCACGGCCAAGTTCTCTTGGTGGAGTATCACTGTGTAATTGCTTACTTGGCCTTCAGCAACCAGTGAACAATATGCAAGCGCAATGGCGAAGTATATGCTCAACATTCAGCAATGCTTGTGGCTGCTGTACTGAGGACGAGAGCACAGATGAAAACGTGTTGCATCAAGGGGGCAGTGACAACAGGGAAGATGGAGGAAAACAGGATATATTGGTGGTGTTCGTATTGCTCCGTTCGCCTTTGGGTTTCCCACTTTTTAGTGCGGGCAAGCACCTACCTGCAAAGCACGCAGGAGGCGCGGGAGACAACCTACTCTCAAGAATAGACGCAACATAAAGTATGATGTAATATGCTGGGCAGGTAGGGGACGTAGCAGCAGAAGCAATGCGCAATGTACACAGCAGCTGGAGAACATTGGAGGTGGATAGTCCAACTGATAAGGACAAAGCAACTCCCTAAATGGAGTTGCTTTGTTCTGCTGATCAGCTGGATCATCCGCCTAACAAGAGGGGAAACGCGGGCCACCTGTATCTGTGTGCACAGCTTGAAGTCTATGCAGAGGTGCTGTTGCGAGAAGGGAGGGTAGTCCGCTTCCACGAAATAGCCGCATTCATGTCAAGTTGTCTTTTTTATATCTGTTGCAAATCTACAGTGCAACCCAGTGCAGGCTGCGACAACGAACACCCAGGTACAACAGGAAACGCGTAGTGTCACCTTAGCCAGGAAGCCTCCGTTCGTTCTTCGCATAGCATACTACAAACTGCCTTTGCTGCCTCTTGAACGCTATGGGTTGTATGCGCCCCCGATCAACCCAAAGTCCCCAAGTGTGGCTGCAGCAATGTTCTTAGGTATACTACAGTTCATGCCGAAGACGTCGAAAGGGTAAATAACAAACCTACCATTTGTGCAAGCCCTGCAGGGGCCTGGATAATGGAATGACGTACGCATATTAACTCTGTGTAGTGCCAAAATCGATTGTCTAAGAGTTTCGACTCGCGGCAAAACTTGTATGAAGTCCATTGCAACCCCTACACCCAGATGTCTTTTGACTCAGTCCTGCGATGCTGCAAAGGACTTTGTAAGTATGGGGTTTTGAGCTAATACGGGCTCAAATAGTTGATATGAAGGTCTTCAGCATATGACACGATTCGACATTGATCAATTCCCTATACATCGACCACAGTGGAGATCGCTCTCGCATGGTGCTTAGGTCTGCGTACTAGACAACGCAGTATGATAAAATTGCTTGCGCTACCTCCTCCGGAAGAACAAATAAGGACAGTTTTCATTGTCGGTTGCATAGGCTTGCCAGAACGAAGTGCTGAGCTGCTTTGAAGAGCCAGATGCTGCATCGCTCCCTGACTACTCCGTGAAGACGCATGCTAGCCTACATCCTTTGATGGAGAAGACGGTCGCCAGAAAACACTACCGTTGCCGGTTTCTTCCACTAAAGCCGAGAACCAGCTGTATGGTGCCCTCGATATTGTCCTGGAGAACCGGCAAAGGTAGTGTTTTCTGAGGGCCGTCTTCTCCATCAAATAATTTTTCAGTTGATGCAGGCCTCACAGAACACCACGTTCAGTGCTTCTTAACCCGAGCACGCACGTGCCTAAAATACCTTTCGCGGCTTTAACGGCAATGCGAATTGGCAGCCTTACTGAACTATATAAGCTAGCTATATTATTCAGATGCTGAGGGTGAAGAGCAAAGTTAGTTCTGGTTAGTGAAGTCACCCTAATATGCCAGATAGTGCGCGTTGGGTTTAAGGGAATTGCAAATGTAGTTGGGGAAATGTCCAGGTATCCATGACCGGAACTCCAACGAAGTAAACAAAACTCACGTCGTGTGCAACCAAAAACAACTGGCAAGTTTTACTCAGCTGTGTCAACACTTACTGCAGAGAAAAAAGACATGGAAGGAACGGAGAGTAATGGAAGCTGTAAATTAACCTACACAGCAGATGGAAGTGCTTCTCATTACTCTGCAAGCAGAACTATCGTCGGTGCCGCCTGTCAAATGTCCCTCGGAACCCTGCTGATTCCCTCTGCACACTAATGACTGGGACCTACAACTGCTGCATTCAGAATTCCATCCAGATTGTACCTAGGTAGAGACGACAATTCAAAAGTATAGCAGGACATAGGCACCACTGAGAAGAACGAAGGCCAGATGGAAGGTTCTACCGCTGCCCTATACAAACACGTGGTTTATACGGGCGCAAAACATATACCCTATATATAGGGCAACCTGCTTAGACTGCCCTACTCAAAATCCTGCAGCAACCAGCAACAACTAACATGTAGGCAACTGCTGATTACAGCTGGTTTCATCATCGCGTTCCCTTCCGTCAATCGGTCAACTGTAGTGCGTGCGATTAGAATGCTGCTGACACATGGGCTGCAGAGCACACCCAGCACAGTAACAAGACTTTTGGCTTGACTCGCGCTGTAGCAAATGCCTAAGCGTGGAGGTAGTTGAATCACACCAACAAAGACACAGCGCGAGAGTGGCATTACTGCCACTTGGTCTACCCAACACATTGTTGCTCATGTGCTCGGTCGCAGCCAGTGTCCACTACTTCAATGCCTCAGCAGACGATTCTGTACTCAGGTTCACCTTTTCTCCATTCTCATGGAGTACCCATCCCCAAGTTTTTGAATCCATGAACCACTGCACGTAGAGCGTTTCGCAACTCACTGTAGTAGATTCATGCTATTCCTAAGTATTGCACCACAAGCTTGGAAGTCAGGCCTGACAGTTCGGCCGTGCTCATTCCATGGGAACTTTTAACATAGGCACGGCCGATTAAGGGCCTAGTGTCACATTTCACATTGTGTGGAAGGCTCGATATCTAAAGACGAAAGGGCATCCTTTCCCGGAGTCTGCTAGTGTTCCAGTTGGCTCATGCCCAGTAGTAATGGCGACTGTGCTGTGCTTGCCCTTGTAGTTTCAGATTCCTAGTAGAGAATTCCTTGCACGTCAGGGCTAGACAGAGCGGAATGATGCGACACGTCCTATTGTTTTCTCATGTTTAGCATCCCCGAGTGATGTCCATGCAGGGCTCTTAAACCGCCGAAGCTTTTCAGCCCCACAGCTACAGCAAAACTGTACGGCGCGCACCAGGCAACCTAAAAAAAATATGTAATTTGGAGTGAATCCAGAAAGTAGTCACCATGGGAATCTGCCTGTAGTAAAGAGTTCTGATGGCGGATATGTGCAGCATTCACGCCGAACGTCGGTGGGTACGTATCCACCCTTTCGTCGGTAATCTGTATCTGATTAACGGAAATTTAGGAGCTGCGACGCTCACATCTGCAATATAGAATATGGCTGAGTGGAGGCGAGGAGGCGTGTAAAGGCCATGCGAAAGCTCTGCGAGTTCACGTAAGGCGTAATATGTAGGATCGCAGCAACACAGGAAAATGCAGTAGATACAGATTCACAATAGAACGGATCCAGGGGATAGAGTCTTAGAACACAGAGCATAAATCACGCTTCCCACTTGTGAGACACGAATTACGAGGTTGCAGCTGGCCTGTGCATTAGGTGTAGCGCTGTGCTGAGCACCAGACTGGCGGTCAGCGATTGGGTGGTAAAGCCAAAACATACGGCACACTAGGTAGAGGAAATGAAGGTACCACCATTTGCTGTGGGAGATGTGCCCACGTTGCAGCTTCTGCTTGTTGCTCCAGCACGGAGAAGTCCGCACGCAAGATTAGCATTCCCTGCAAGAGCTACTGCGACTGTTAAGCTAGCCAGAGGTATGAGCAAGACAGCTGGATGGGATAGCGCGCCTGGTTGAAAAATTTCGCGTTTGTTGGTGTGTTCACCGACCATGCTGCTCCATTATGTATGTCCTTAAAGTTTTTCGGGCTGCTTGTTAACCACGTTTGTTCGTAGGTGGTTAGGGCTTCCGCTTCCTATAGAAATGCTCAAACTAGCGCAAAGTAGGGCGGTCGAAGGACGGCACGTCAACACTTCAAGGGGGAAGAAGAGGCGGCGTAACATGCGCCAACGTTGGATGTACCTCCGTGGAGACGTGGTGCTGGAGAATGCTCCGTGGAGACGTGG